TGTGGGACTCGATCCCAGGACTCCAGGATTGCGCCCTGGTCCAAAGGCAGGTGCTAAACCGCTGAGCCACCCAGGGATCCCCTAAATACTTTGATTTAAAACAAATCATATTTATGTCATTTTTAAGTAATAATCTGACATAGGATTTATATTCAAATAATCTAAATTTTGCAATGATCTGAGTTTTAAAATCCTATTTCTGGACCATTTTGAAGAAAAATTGCCTTAAGATTTATGTTCAGAAAGCTGTACAATTTGAATATGGATTTTTAAACTTGCATTTCTGTCTGATTTTTGGAAAAATTATGGTGAAGAATTCATGTCCAAAACCTCCCAAGATTTTGCAGATTTGCACCATTTGGAGGGAAAATATGGCATATGGTTATGTCCAAAAATACATTTTGGGAAAATCTGGATGAAAAGCTATCTTTCTGACCCATTTTGGAAGTAAAAAATTGCATGGGACTCATATCTAAATCCACTTTCTGGAAGGTAAAGCTGGCATAGAACTTATGTCCAAGAAACTGAAACTTGTAGTGAATTTGGGTTTAAAAAATATGTTTGGGGGCCACTTTGGAAGAAAATATGCCACAGGACTTATGTCTAAAAAAACCTCATGATATTACTAAATTTTAATAAAAAATGACATTTTATGATCATTTGCAAAGAACAGTTTGGCGCGGAGTTTACAAAAAAAAAAACAACTAACATTTGAGAACATTTGGATGAAATACTGCATATTTAGGTCACTTTGGAAGACAATGTGGCATAGAAATTATCTCCAAAAAATGCCAAAAAACTATTTGAGTCAATTTGAAAAGTCACAATTCTAAGTCTTTTAGAAGAAAAGTCTTGCATAATACTTATGTCCAAAAGATACCAAGATTTGAATGAGTTTCCTTAATTAGGAAATCACATTTTCTGCATAGTTTAAGAAAAAAAAATCTGATGTATGACATCGTTCCAATAAGCCCATAAATTGGGACATAAATAAGCCCCAAACAGATTTATATGAAACATCACATTACCAGGGCATCTGGGGACAAATAACTGGCATACAACTTATTTCCCAAAACTCTACTATTTATACGATATTGGATGTAAAAAATGATGTTTCTTGTCCCTTAGGGAGAAAATTTGATGAAGGATTTGTGCCTCCCAAAAGCAATGATTTGAATGAGTTTGGATGAGAAAGTGTATTTCTAGGCAGTTTTGTTAAAATAATGTAGCATAGAACTTATAAACACATCACCCTAACTACTGAGCATGCTTAGATGGAAAGTCACAATTTTTAGTACTCTTAGAAAAGTTTGCATAAGAATTATTTCCCAAAACCCACAAGACTTAATGAATTTGGATGAAAAATTATATTTTCAAGATCATAGTGTAGTATTACAGACAGAAAATCCCACTCACTGTGCTAATTTGGATGAAAAATGTCTTTCTAGGCCATTTTAGAAGAAAAGCCAAGTGTGTAAGTTTAGGTGCAAAACTTAAACCATTTGAGTGAATTTGTATGAAAAGCTGCATTTTTGGGGCTATTTTGGAAGAAAATCCTGCTTCTATTCAAGATAGTCCACTGATTATTGCTGTAGCTTTAGTAAGTTTTTTTTTTAATTTTTATTTATTTATGATAGTCACATAGAATGAGAGAGAGAGAGGCAGAGACACAGGCAGAGGGAGAAGCAGGCTCCATGCACCGGGAGCCCGACGTGGGATTCGATCCCGGGTCTCCAGGATCGCGCCCTGGGCCAAAGGCAGGCGCCAAACCGCTGCGCCACCCAGGGATCCCGCTTTAGTAAGTTTTGAATTAGGAAGTGAAAGTCCTTCAACTTAGTTCTTATTTTCTAAAAATATGTTCTATTGTTTTTTAATATAAAACATAGCACACTGGCTGTAGAGTTCTCAGACTGTTTTCCCCAGTCCTCCCCTACTGATTAATCTTGAAGACCTTCCCATGCAAGTGTATAGAGATGCTTCTCATTCATTGACAATATACAGCATCTTATTCTATTTATACATGGTCAACTTTAATTAGTTCCTCTATTAGTGAACAATTTTGTCTTTACTAAAATTTGAAGTTACTATTGCACTGAAAAACTTATATAGATCATTTTGCACATGAATATGTACAGCTATTGGATAAATTCCATTGAGACTATGGGCTCATGAGGGGAATATGAATTTTTAATTTTGGTAGATATCACCAAGTTGTCCACCATAATACTTGCACCAATTTATATTTCCAAGACTAACACGTAAGTGTACCTGTTTCCATAGTCAACAAGAGTAAATTTTCTAATTTTTGCAGTCTGACAGGTGTTAAGTGTCTCTGTGGGTTTTCATTTCTATCTTTCTGACATTAGACACTTTCAATTGAAAAAAGACCTCTACACTGTGCTGAGTCTGATCAGAGTATTTTTTGTTGCACCGTTGATTTGAAAAACTCCATTTTTTTCTAAAGATATTTTGTAGATCTCTTTGTAGGACAGACTTCAGTATTTCCCTCCAGTCGTTTGTTTAAGCTGAAGGTGTGGGTTGTCTTGCAGAATTTATTTTTCTGTAGCCAAACTCGACCTATTTTCATTATGGCTTCAAGATTTTGAGTCATAGCTAGGAAAGTCAGTCCTGTGTTACAAAGGTGTTATAATTATTATCACTATTTAACAGGCAACAGTAATAAAATTAACACAATTTTATTATTATCCCTCATAGTTCTGTAGGTTGACTGAGCTCAGCTGAATGGATTTCTCTTGAGGTATGAAGGCTTGGCAGAGTGGTTTTTCCAAAATGGCTCTATCATGTAACTGCAGGTGTTTGCTGTTGGCTAGTTTAGCTAGGCCTACTGACCAGAATATCTTCATGAGGCCTCAGTGTGGCTTTGAGGTTTTCACAGCATGGAAGTGGGATTCAGAGTAGAAGCTGTAAGGCTTTTCATGAAATAGCATCCAGAAGTCCCATAATATCACTTTACTTCTATATTCTCTCGATCAAGCAAATCACTCAGGCCAATCCAGACCCATGGGGAGGGTAATTACATACACAAAAAAAATATACATGTACATATATATATATATATATATACACACACACACACTCTCTATATATCTATATCTATATACACACACACACACACACATCCACACACACATATATGAAGGACTTGATGTCCATCTTGGAGACTATCTCCACAGTCTACCCTCTGAACACCAAACTTCATGTCCATTCCATGTGAAATATACACTCCTCCCTAAGACCCTCAAAGTCTTATCCCATTATGGCATTGAGGCAAAGTTCAGAATCTTGTTATCTAAGCCATGCCCAAGCATAGGTGATTCTTTACATGAAGACTTGAGAGCTAAAGACACTTATCTAACATTGTTCATTTGGGGATAAAATATAACCACAATAATGCTTCTATTAAAAAAAAAAAGGAGAAATCAGTTATACAGCCGGTACCAGTTCATAGACATTTTGAAATTCAGCTGGGCACATGCCACCAGTTCCTTAATTAGTGTCCAGTACTGATCCCTGACAATGATTCTCCTTGCTTTTTGTCTACACTGAGTTATTCTTCCTTTTCTGAATAGCCTGTATCTGCAGCTTAGATTTCTCAGCCTGCCTTCCTGCCCATAGAAAAGTAGGAATTTTTCTGTCCTTTTCAGACTAGACTCGTGTTCCAATTACAAACTCATGAGTTTCACGTGCCTCTTACAGAAGTTCACTCCAGGGACGCCTGGATGGCTAAGCGGTTGTGCATCTGCCTTTGGCTCAGGGCGTGATCCTGGAGTTCCAGGATTGAGTCCCACATCAGGGTCCCTGCATGGAGCCTGCTTCTCCCTATGCCTCTCTCTCTGTTTCTCGTGAATAAATAAATAAAAACCTTAAAAAAAAAATAAGCTCACTCCATGAAATAAAACATCTACAGAGCTCTTTAAGCGAAGGTTCTCTTGGTTTATGTTGCCAGGACGCTGTGGGATGATATCTTTAAAATTCACAGAAACCATTTTGTGTAGTTGAGTGTCTAGGAGCTATACATTTAAATCTTAAGTCTTAAAAAAGGCTTACAGCTGCATCCTTGGGATGGTCTTTACCTTAAAGGTCATTTGTTTTGAGCAAAACCACTTTGGACTGGAACACAGTGGAAGTATGGTTAGGAATTTTTAAATATGGCTAAATACCTTTAATCTTGCCATTCGAGAACTGCTGAGGGTATGTGGCTAAGGGACCTTGGACTAATTCTTGGATGGCTGGCATGGGGCCTGGGCCTGGGCCATAGTGCTGGGGAGCATGACTATGAGTTCTAAACTCTGGTATTCCAGGACTGATTTGGAAGTGTGGCTTCAAGAGTCTTCTCCCTGTTATTGGAGGACTGAGAACATGCGGTTAAAGGTCATTATATTATTGGAGTGCCAGTAAGGTGGTATGGCCAGGGGTGGTTAGAGATCATCCATGTTCTTGGTGGTCTGATATGAACATAACTGGAGACCCCAGGCTCTGAGATGCAAGAATTGATTGGCCACAGCTGACCAGACCTGGGGACTGGAGGGCTGGGGACAATGTACTGTTGAAGGGGCTCCATGATGGGAGGACCAGGGACTACATAAAGCCTGAGAAAAATCATTTAAGGTGGTTAGGGGATGATTCAGCAAAGGCAACATTTGAAAGTCAGAAGGAGAGAAACAAGAAAGGGAGCTGTCACAGAAGTCAAGAGAAGGGTGTAGTTGCAGATCAAAGTGGGCTGGCTAGAGGAAGCCATGATTTTTGGAAGACACTTGGAAGATTCCCCCCCACACACCTGAAATCCCTGAATACGGTTCCTCAATGTTCCCCCTATACCAAGGACCAGATTTTCTAGTAAATGTTCTAGTGACTTAGTTCTTGTCTTCCAAGGAATTGAATTCTTATGGAATAGTGGACTTAGGAGCTACCTGTACCGTTCCTTGTTCTCTATCTTTACAGACGAGTGAATGAGGTATGCAGTCAAGGTTACAGATATGTAAAGAAGCAATCAATGTTTATTAGAACAAAAGGCCATAAAACATGAAGACTTAAGTGTGGAGAAAGCTAAGTCAAATGTCCTTTGACCACTTATGGAGTGTACTTCTTACCCCATTTCATCAAAGTATAACAATTTTGATGATTCAGTCCACACTACCATCTTCGCTTTCAAAGAGAGTGTAAGAGGTCAGAAGACTGCCCTGCACAGGCCTCAGGGTCAGGCTGGAGTGGCAGTTTGTAGTGGACAGATTTCATCCTCCTGTGTCTGCTGAGGTGGGACTTGTGGCTGAAGCCTTTGTCGCACATCTTGCACACATAAGGCTTCTCCCCCTGGTGTGTCATCTGATGTAAGAGGAGACGTGACTTCTGGATAAAGTCTTGGCCACACTCTCGGCACACACAAGGTTTCTCTTCTGAATGTACCCGTTTATGTATGATTAAAGCTGACTTGTTGCTGAATCCTAGGCCACACTGCCTGCACATGTAAGGCTTCTCCCTTGAGTGCTTCCTCTTGTGCCTGATGAGACCTGCCTGGTGACTGAATCCCCGCCCACACTCTCTGCACACGTACGGCTTTTCCCCTGAGTGTGTCCTCTGGTGTGCAACGAGGTTTGACTTCTGGCTGAAGCCTCGCCCGCATTCCTCACACACCATGGGCTTTTCCCCTGAGTGTGTCCTCTGGTGTCTGATGAGGTTTGACTGCTGGCTGAAGCCTCGCCCACAATCCTTGCACACAATGGGCTTGTCCCCTGAGTGAATGTTCTGGTGCCTGTTGAGGTGTGACTTCAGACTAAAGCCGCGCCCACACACCCCGCACACATAAGGCTTCTCCCCGGTGTGTGTCCGCCTGTGTGAGATGAGGGTTGAATTCTGGCTAAAGCTGTGCCCACACACTCCACACACATAAGGCTTCTCTTTGGAGTGTGTCCTCTGGTGGTTGACAAGGGTCGTCCTCTGCCTAAAGCAGCGCCCACACTCTTTGCAGGCATAAGGCTTCTCCCCGGAGTGTGTTCTCTGGTGTGAGATGAGGTTCGACCGGTCACTGAAGCCTAGTCCACAATCGTTGCACACGATGGTCTTTTCCTCCAAGTGTGTCCTCTGGTGTCTAACGACAGCAGACTTCTGGCTAAAGCCTTTCCCACACTCCCGGCACACGTAGGGCTTCTCCCCCGAGTGTGTCCTCCGGTGTATGATGAGGTTTGACTTCTGACTAAAGCCTCGCCCGCACTCGCTGCACATGTATGGCTTCTCACCCGAGTGGGTCCTCTCATGGATGACGAGCGTGGACTTGCGGTTGAATCCTCGGCCGCACTCCCTACACACAATCGGCTTCTCCCCCGAGTGGGCCTTCTGGTGCCTGGCGAGGCTCTTCTTCAGACTGAAGCCCTTCTCACACACGCCACACACATATGGCTTCTCCCCAGAGTGAATCCTCTGGTGACTGAGCAGGTTTGTCATCTTGCTGAAGCCCAGGCCACACTCTCTACAGTTGACCGTTCCAAATCCTAAAACTTCTATCCTCTTCAACAGTCGGTCGGCCTCCTCAGGGTTCCCTGTCGGAACGGGGCTAGACCCTATTTCCATGCCTCTGACGCCACTCCGAGAGCTGGCTGGCTGCCTTTGGGGTGGCCTAGAGAATGCTCCCGAAGTCCTTTTCTTTGTCTTGCCAAACAAAGGCTTGGCAACTTCTCTCTCTTGACCTTCTGCTTTATCACTCCAGGGCTCTGGATCAGAGGCATGTTGCTGCTGCTTCTGGGCCCCTGGGCACGGATCCCCTGGGTCAACATGAGTTTCTGCACACAGGCATGCGAAGACCCAGGGGGGTGATTACACAGCATGTGTTGCGTGTGGCGTTTCTGACTGGAAAAATCCGAAGGGCAGAGAGGACAGAGGTGGAGTTCTGGCTTTGGTTCTGCTGCAGAGAGAAAAGCCAGGAGTCAGAGCAGAGACTCGGTGGGGCAGCCCCAGCAATTCTGCCTCGTGGGCTGTGAGGCTTGATTCCCTGCTCTTCAAAATGCTTCCAACTTGAGAACTACCCAGTCAAGGCTTCCTTTAAATGATGTACTTTTCCAGCCTCTTCCATTATGGTCTAGAAAACCCACCCTCCAGCCTCTCCCATGCAGCCAGCTTTATGATCATCACAGGCAATTTTGGCTCTTTCAAATAGGGACACTAAGCAACAGTCCTCCTCAGCTCCCGCGACTGTCTCCTAGCCAGCACCCACACGATGGAGACCGTGTCCACAACTATTTTCTCTGACTGACAGAGATCTGATCACAGGACCTGTATAGAAATGTCAGGTCTTTCCCTATTTCCCACTGAGGACAAAGGGACAGATGGAGAGAGCACTCACTCAGAATGGAGAACCCCCAGTGTAGGAAGCAGCATAAAAATGGTTAGAGATGGTCTGTGAGATGCCTGGAGTTCCTCCACTCACTAACAAATATTTATTGGAGGATTATTTTGTGCTAGAATTTCTAAGAGGCCACAGGTAATGGACAACACAAGCACTGTCTAGATGGTCCCTCCTGGTACCCCTGACCAGTTTAAACCCTGTTAATCTTCATAATTAATCTAAATAAAAATCTCCCCAGAAATCAGTATAGAAGCAAAAATTTCTTCTTATAGTACCTCATATGTAGAAGATGTTAACACTGAGTGTATAGTTTTATCATAGCTGGTTCTAGTCTTCAGAAGGCCAGAAACAACCAAACAATTTGAGAAACCAGGTAGTCATTGTACTGGACCAACCTCAACACAATTTTCTTGATTAATGAACTGAACTTTTTTTTTTTTTAATTTTTACTTATTTATGATCGTCACACAGAGAGAGAGAGAGAGAGAGAGAGAGAGAGAGAGAGAGAGGCAGAGACATAGGCAGAGGGAGAAGCAGGCTCCATGCACCGGGAGCCCGACATGGGATTCGATCCCGGGTCTCCAGGATCGCGCCCTGGGCCAAAGGCAGGCGCCAAACTGCTGCGCCACCCAGGGATCCCTGAACTGAACTTTTAAAAACCAACTGTATTCACATCTAAATTCTAGCATGTGGTTCTGAATGTTACTGTATTTGGAGATGGGGCCTTTAAAGAGGTAATTAAGTTAAACCTTAATTAAGAAGTAATTAAGATTAAAAGGGGTCATAAGGATAGAGCCCTCATCCGATATGACTACTGTCCTTATAAGAGGCAGAGACAGCAAGGATGTGCACACACGAAGGAAAAGCCATGTGAGGACATAAAGAGAAGGCGGCCATCTGCAAGCTTCTTTCTGTAGCTCACTGGGTTTTTTCTTACATTCTTGCTCAATCCTTTTAAAAAACAGTAACAGAAAGAAGCCCATGAGGGGTACCTGGGTGGCTCAGTCAGTTAAGCAGCTGCCTTTGGCTCAGGTTATGATCTCAGGGTCCTGGGAGTCTGTATCTCCCTCTGCCTCTCCCCCACCACCTGGCTGGTGCCCCCCCCCCCATAAATAAATAAAATATTTTAAAAAAAGGAAAAAACAGAAAGATGCCCATGAATGTGGAAGAAAACTGAGTGAAGTAAAGAGGGCAAACATAGTGGGAGGAAGAAAGAGAGATGAGAGATACCAGGACAGCCCTGCTCTCAGGTGAAGATGAAGGTCTTGAAGGGAGGCCACACCAGGCAACGCAAATACAGCACAGGAGGTCAGGAGAAGCAGGAAAGCCGCCCTCTCCAGCACCTGGGCAATGCCTCCTGTCTCCCACCGTGCACTGCCTGCAGTTCTGTGCTCCGTCTGCCCCACACTCCCCACTCACCTGGACAGAGGGCTGGTGGGCATTTCCCCTCCTCTCTCCAGCTTTCCTTCCCTTGCTCCAGCTGGGTGATAAGTTTTGGCTTAGAAAATGGAATTCCTGCTCACAGGAAAAGAAAACAAGGTGGCTATAGGTGAGGGGCACAAAGGCCAACTCAGAAAGCAAGATGGCTGCTTTAAGCATAGCCTCAAATGCCCAGCAGCAAGAATGTGAGTCCTCAAGGATTCTAGGGCTTACCCAGTGAGACCAGGTTGCTGTAGTTCTCCAGCATCACCTCCCTGTACAGGGATCTCTGAGCAGGGCTCAGCAGCATCCACTCTTCCTGGCTGAAATTCACAGCCACATCTCTGAATGCCATGTGTGCCTGGAATAGAAAACACAGCCCTGCTCACCGAGGAGCCAGCCTTGCCCATGACTCAGGCTGAGGGAAAGGAAGAGGCCACCCTGCAGGAGGCTTGGCGAGCTAGCAAGATTCTGTCCTCAGGGTGCCTGGGTGGCTCGGTTGGTTAAGCATCCAACTCTTGACTTTGGCTCAGGTCATGATCTCAGGATTGTGGATCGAACCCTGTGTGGATCCTGCTTCGGATTCTCTTTCCCCTTCCCCTTGCTGCTCCTCACACTCACATGCTCTCGGAAAAAAAAAAAAAAAAAAAAAAATTCTGCCTTTGATTATGACCTTGATACCATGTTTTCCAAAACCTCTGAAACTCTGTTGCTATCCAGCCAACAGCTGTGAATCTTGAATCTACATTTAAGATCTTCAGTGGGTTGCGTGGAGAATATATGCAAAAAAGAGTCCCTAGGGGCACCTGGTTGGCTCAGTCGGTTACGTGTCTGCCTTTGGCTCAGCATATGGTCCCAGGGTCCTGGGATTGAGCTCTGTGTCGTGTTTGGCTCCCTGCTCAGTGGGGAGTCTGCTTCTCCCTCTGCCCCTTCCCCGGCTTGTGCTCTCTCACTCTCCCTTGCTCTCTCTCTCCAAAAAATAAAAATAAAATCTTAAAAACAAACAAAAAAAGAGTCCCTAACTTTCAGGAACTTTAAACTTAAACAGAAGAGGGACTCCTGGGTGGCTCAGCAGTTGAGTGTCTGTCTTTGGCTCAGGGCATGATCCCAGAGTTCCAGGAAGAGGTCCCACATCAGGCTCCCTGTGAGGCCCCTGCTTCTCCTTCTGCTTATGTCTCTGCCTTCTCTCTGTGTCTTTCATGAATAAATAAATAAAATCTTAAAACCTAGAAGAGCAAACAACATATAATAATTAAAAGTAAAAGCATAACAGACTTCGAATTTTAAGAATTTAAAAGATCAAAAAATATTACCAATCATCTTAGTATTGAGCATCTGAATGACTAAAGTGCATACAATTTAGTAACGGCACAGGCTAACCTATAATTCAGTCCTTTCCTTAGATGCCATGGTCCCTTGGCCTCCTTGGATCTGAGAGACATAAGTGGGCAGTGGTGAAGAGCACAGTCTTGGGCGTACTTCCTGGTTTGGGGCCCACCTCTGTGGTCAATTAGTGAAATATAGATAACAGTATATTAAATGTATGGCCCTACACTATGGATGCTCAGGGTGGACCTTCGTGGCCACTCAACCTACAAATTCATCGCTATATTCATTCTCATCCCCCCACCCAGTTTTACTCATCTCCTTAACTCTATTTCAAAATGGAGGACATGGGAAATACAGACATCAGGAAAAGGGTCCTGAGACAGACCCAGGAACTTTTATCCTAAAGGATGGGCAAGAGAAGAGGGAAGTGTTAGGTATTCCAGATGAAGCATGTGGGAAGCAGAGAAGACGACGCTATGAGCAAAGGAAGAGAGGATGCTGTAATGCAGACAGGGAGGACAACCCGGGAGGAATAAAAGGTAGAATACAGAAGAGGTGGAATGTATAAAAGGTGGAATGTATAAGAGGTAGAATGAATAAAAGGTAGAATATAGAAGAGGAATGTAGCAGCCTACAGATTTTTAATCTGTATTGTAGAATATATATGATAAATATTTTACTATTTTTACCATTTTAGGTATACATTTCAGTAACATTAAGTTCATTCACACTGTTGTACACCCATTACCACTGCATCTCCAGGACTTGTTCATCATCCAACACTGAGTCTGTAACCATTAAATAATAAACCCTCCTCCTCTCAAACCCAGGGAACCACCATTTTAGTTTCCATCTCTATGTATGTGCTTATTCTACATACTGGAAATAAGTAGACTTATACAATATCTGTCCTTTTGTGTCTGGCTAATTTCACTCCTGTAGAAGCATGAACTCAGAATTTCCTCCCTTTTCAAGACTAAAAAATATTCAGTTTTATATTTATGTATATATAAATATATATTTATATTTTCATTTCATATATTTTCATAATTTCATTTTCATATATGTATATATCCATTGATGGACATTTGGTTTGGTTTATTTTTATTTTATTTTTTTAAATTTTTTTATTTATTTATGATAGTCACAGACAGAGAGAGAGAGGCAGAGACACAGGCAGAGGGAGAAGCAGGCTCCATGCACCGGAAGCCCGATGTGGGACTCGATCCTGGGTCTCCAGGATTGCGCCCTGGGCCAAAGACAGGCGCCAAACCGCTGTGCCACCCAGGGATCCCTTTGGTTTGGTTTATATTCACCTTTTAATGACTGAATAATACTCCTCACAAATTGGTGTATAATGAGTCCCTGCTTTCAATTCTCTGGGGTATATACCCAGAAGTAGAATTACAAGAGCAAATAGCAAAGTCATATTCATTTTTTTCAGGAATCACTGTGCTCCACAGCAACTGCATCATTTTACAACAACACTAGCAATGCAGAAGTATTCTAATTTCTCCATATCCATCCTCACCAACACTCGTTGCTGGTTTTGTTTGTTTGTAATAAGCCATCTGATGGGTGTAAAGTGGCATCTCATTGTGGACTTAATTTGCATTTCCCCAATGATGAGTGATGATGATCATCTTTTCACATGCTTATCTACTATTTATATAACTTCTTTGCAAAAATATCTATTCAAGTACTTTTCTTTACCCATTCTTGAATTTGGGTGTTGGTATTTTTGTTGGGTTGAGTTCTTTATATATTCTGAATATTAATCACTTACCAGTGATTTGCAAATATATTTGCACAAAAGTCATAAATTTTGATGAAGACCAATTTAGCTATTTTTTCTTTTGTTGTTGAGCTTTTGGTGTAATATCCAAGAAATCATCACTAAATCCAATTTCATGAAGTTTCCCCTAAGAAACTGTTTTTTCCTAAGAGTTTTATAGTTTTAGTTCCTACTTGTTTAGGTTTTTAATCCATTTTGAGTTCATTTTTGTATATGGCATGAGGTCCAACTACATTCTTTTGCATGTAGGCATACAGGTTCCCAGCACTGTCTATTAAATAGACTGTCCTTTCCACCACTGAATAGTCTTGGTACTCTCGTCCAAAATCATTTGACCATATACATGCAAGTTTATTTCTGGGCTCTCTGTTCTAGTCTGTCAGTCTGTAATTCCATCTCTATCCCAGTACCACACAGCTTGGATGACTATAGCTTTGTAGTAAATTTTGAAATCAAGACCTATGAGCCCTCCATATTTGTTCCTTTTCAAGACTGTTTTGGCTATTTAGAATCCCTTGAGGTTTCATATGAATTTTGGGATCAAGTTTTCTATTTCTGGAAAAAAAAAAGTCATTGGGATACCAGGACCCCAGGATCACGCCCTGAGCCAAAGGAAGACACTCAACCACTAAGCCACCCAGGTGACCCCAATTTAGATGTCTCTTTTTAAAAAAAATTCTTGCCTACTTACTCTGGCTAGAACTTCTAGTACTGTGTTCGACAGCAGTGGCAGAAGTCGGCATCTTTGTCATATTTGATCTTACAGAAAAAGCCTTTAATCTCCTACCATGGAGTATGTTAGCTGTGAGGTTTTCACAAATGACCTTGATTATGTTGAAGTAGTTTTCTTCTATTCCTAGTTTATTGAGTGTTTTTATCATAAAAGAGTGATGGATTTTATCAAGTACTTTCTGTATCAGTTGAGATGGTCACGGGGATTTTGCCCTTCATCTGTTAATGCAGTATATTCATTGATGTTTACATGCTGACCCATCCTAGCATTCTAGGACTAAACCCCACTTGGTGGGATTCTTTTAGTATGCTATATAATTCTATACAAAGTATAGAATTTTTCTACTAGTGTAGAAAAGCATATAATTCTTTTAATATGCTGAATTTGGTTTGCTAATATTATGTTGAGAATTTCTGCACCTGTTTTCACAAGGGATATTGGCCTGTAATTTTCTCTACTGCCTTTGTCTGGTTTTGGTATCAAGGTGATGCTGGCTTCACAGAATTAGCTAGGCAGTATTCCTTCTTCAAGTTGGGGTGGGGGGCGGCAGTGATATTTGAGAATTGGTGTTTTTCTTTAAATGCATAAAATTCACCAGTGATGGTGATGGTTCAGGGTGGTTCTTTGCTGGGAGCTTTTGATTACTGATTCAAAGCCCTTGCTGGTCTATCAATTTCTATTTCTTAATGATTCTGTTCTGAGGTTTTTTTTTATTTCTAAGAAGCTGTCCATTTCATCAAGGCCATCCCGCTTGTTGGGGTATAATAGTTTATAATAGTCTTGTATAAACCCCCTTATTTCTGTAGAATCAGTAATAATGCCCCACCTGCACTTCTGATTTTAGCAATCTGAGACTTTTTGTTTTCTCAGTCAAGTTAGCTAAAAGTTATGTCAATTTTGGTAGGCTTTTCAAAGAACCAGTTTCTGGTTTTATTGATTTTCTCTATTATTTTTCTATTCTCTATTTAACTCTGTTCTAATCTTGACTGTTTCCTTCCTCTGCTACCCTGAGTTTAGTGTGTTCTTTTTCTAGATTCTTTTTTTTTTTAAAGATTTTATTTATTTATGAGAGAGAAAGAGAGAGAGAAAGAGAGAAGGCACAGACACAGGCAGAGGGAGAAGCAGGCTCCATGCAGGGAGCCTGACGTGGGACTCGATCCCGGGTCTCCAGGATCAGGCCTTGGACCCAAGGTGGCGTTAAACCACTGAGCCACCTGGGCTGTCCCTTTTTCTAGATTCTTAAGTGGTAAAACTATGTTATTGCCTGAGATATTTTTCCTTTTTTTTTTTTTTTTAAGAGATTGAGGGAGGGAGAAAAAGAGAGGGGCAGGGGGAGGGGCAGAGGGAGAGGGTAGAGAGAATCTTAAGCAGGCTGCATGCCCAGCATGGAGTCTGACGGGTTCAATTTCACAACCCTGAGATCACGACCAGAGTTGAAATCAAGAATTGGACACTTTAACTGACTGAGCCACTCCAGCACCCCTTCATATCCATTTGTATACATTCTCTATTTTCATTAGAATTATCACAGTGATTAAATTTAACATCCTAAAGTTAAAACACCCTAATTTGAATTGATATCAGCTTAACTTCAATAGCATGCACAATTCTTTTCCTATGTGCTCCATCCTAATCTCCTGTCAGTTATTAAAATCATAAAATTACACCTCTATGGCCTGTGTCCAAAAATATAGACTCATAATTGTGTTTTCTTTAAGGCATTAGTCTCTAAAATCATGTGGGAAAAAATATGTAAACCAAAGTAACAATAACACTAGCTTACATAATTGCTAATTATTTACATTTACTGTAGAACTTTATCTCTTCATACATCATCAACTAACCGTCTAGTATCCTTTCATTGCAACCTGAAAGCCTTCCATTAGCATTTCTTGCAAGGCAAGTCTGGTGGCTGCAAACTGTATCACCTTTTCTTTTTCTGGGAATGTCTTGATTTCTCCCTTACTTTTGAAGTTTTGCTGGATATAGAATTCCTAGTTGACAGTTTTTTCTTTCAGCACTGAATATATCAATGCATTGTCTTCTGGCTTCCACAGTTCCTGATTAGAAATCTGCTGATAGATTTTAGAGGACCCTTTGTATGTGACAAGTTGCTTCTCTCTTGATACTTTTGAGATTCTCTGTTGCCTTTGGCTTTCAAGGGTTTGGTTACACTGTATTGTGGTGTGAGTCTCTTTGACAGTTTATCCTACTTGGAGTTTGTTGAGCTTCTTAGTTGCTTTTTATATCTTCTGTCTCTATTTCTATGTTGTCCTAATATAATTTTCTCAATTTTGTTTATGTCTTCCTTTAGGTCAGAGAATCTTTAAGACATCTGTTTTAAAGTCTTTGTCTAGTAAGTCCCACCATCTGGCCTTTATTGGGGATAGTTTTCTATTGATTTTTTCCCCTCTGAATGGACTCTATTGTCCTTTTTCTTTGTATGCTTCATGACTTTTTGTGGAAGACTGGATATCTGAATCTTATAATATGGCAACCTTCGCATTCAGATTCCCCGGTATCTACTGGGTGGTTTTAAACTTGTGGTAGGCTGTCTCTGCTGGGATTCAGCCTGAGGTATAAACTTAGGGTTTTCTCAGGTCTTTCTTATGCTTTTCTGATCCTTGCCTTTCCATGGGCATGCATGGTAACTTTCTAAATCCCCTGCAAGTGCAATTGTTTTGGATGTTCTAGTCTTGAAATGTCTGATGAAAAAGATGAAAAAAGAAAAAAATAAAGGGGAATAAACTTCCAAGGATCTGCTCCTACTTCAGCCAGTGGGGGTTGTAATAATGGTGCCCCATTTCTGTAATCAGAAGAAGCAATCAGGAATCAGAATGCAGATCCTCGACATTTGGAGGACAAGGTCCTTACTGCCCACTCTGGCCTCTGCAAGCTGTGTGCAAACTGCTTCAGGAACATATGTATGGCTTTCTGCCATGGGGGTGGCAGTGGGTGCACTAAAAGCTGAAACTCGCTGTTCCAAACCTTCCCTTGGAAGCTGCAAGCATTCAACTAGACTCCAGAGTTCCAAAATAGTTATATCAGACAGATTTTGCCAGTACAATTGTTGTCTAGTTTGGGAGACAGATTTCTGGTACTTCCTACTTTATTATTTTCCATGATGTCACTCTCAGCTTGTAAAAGTTTTAAAGCTGAACAAAGGAACATAGCCTGTATCCTGTCCTGTAGAACTATGCATTATTCACAGTTAGCCACTTGGTGAGTGACTTACATTATGGGTGGAACAGGCTTCAGGTAAGGTAAGTCATGCCTCTAGGACTAATGCTAGACTCTGTCAAGGACCAACAAGGCAGTCAGGATAAGAGAATGTGTCTATCCTGAGATAGCCAGTGTGGAAATACAGAAGACACTCACCATTACCCTGGCTTTCCGGGACCCTGTGGCCATTTTTCCTGGTATCCCTAAAGAAGGATATCTCAGAAGGCAGATCTGGGTAAGGAAAACAGAAATGAAAGGGTGTCAGGTGGGAATGCTTGCCCCATGAATGAGGCAGTGCCTGCCTCAATTGGGGGAAGGGTGGCATGCTGAGGAATGTTAACAGTCTAAGTCTCAACTAGGGCCCTGGAAGAAGGTCCAGGAAGCCAGACCTTCAGCAGGTTCAGTTCCACACTCTCCTGATCACAACAAATTAAATGTAAAAGAGCATTTTTGAGGCCATTTACTTGGCAATAGATGATGTTAAATGCAGCACTATGAATCTGAGGGGTTGTGCAAATGGTATTCTGGTTGTTGTTGTTGTTTTTTTTTCCTGGTTGTTTTTTTAAAAGAAATATATATTGAAGTATTTATGGATGGAAATGATTAAAAACATTTCAGAAAAAATGAGACAAAAACATGAAACAAGATTGCAACACGGTGATGACTGTTAAAACTTAGACTTTATTATACTATTCCTGCTTCTTTTGAACATGTCTAGAATTTTCCCATTAAAAATTATTTTAAAATTCTTAACCAGCAAAAAAACTTATGCAACATGATAAATAAGAAGCATTAAATCAAGATTATGTACATAAGGATGGTCATTATACTACTGTCTCCTTTACACTTGAGATTTTTCATTAAAAAAGTAAAATGTGGGATGCCTGGGTGGTTCAGCAGTTGAGTGCCTCCCTTCAGTCCCACATCAGGCTCCCTGCATGGAGCTTGCTTCTCTCTGTCTGTGTCTCTGCCTCTCTCTCTTGGTGTCTCTCATGAATAAATAAATAAAATCTTAAAAAAAAAAAGTATACAATTTTTCACTGGAGAGCCAGGACAGAAAAAAATAAAAAAATAAAAAAACTAAAACACTGTGTTGAGAACAAAACTAGTGGAACCCAGAGCAATAACCAAGGACAGAAATTGGCAAGAATGAATTATCAATTTAAAATAATAAATTATGACAAAGATTAGAGAAATAAATATTATGACTTAGATGAAGTGACAGGAAAGAAATGAAATGGCAAATCACTCATAAGGGAAATCAAAGAACATTTTTCAAGAAATTTATTTCTGTGGTTTAATTTAATTCTATTTAATTATACATGCAATTAACATCTCTGTTAGTGTTGGAAAGAACCCTGAATAGTCTGAAGATTATAAAGGAAAAGGTTTAGTTCTCTTTCTGGACTCTGCCCCAGGACCACACCTGTGTAACTACTGTTAACTATTTTGTGAGTGCTCTTTGATTTATCATTTTGTCTCTTCATTTTCATCTGTATTTGGGTACATGTGCAAACAATGTTACCTTCCTATAAATAAAAACCATCTGTATTATTCTTTGTTTTTTAAGACTTTATTTATTTATTCATGAGAGACACAGAGAGGGAGGCAAAGACACAGGCAGAGGGAGAAGCAGGCTCCCCACTAGGAGCCCAATGTAGGACTCAATCGCAGACCCTAGGATCATGCCCTGAGCCAAAGGCAGATGCTGAACCGCTGAGGCACCCAGGTGTCCCCCATCTGTATTGTTCTAATTTAGGTGCATTTGTGTACACTAGTACTCACAGCCTAACTGTGTTCTTTTTAAGAACTGTTACACTGTGTCCATCAGCAGACCACATTTTCTTTAACAAAGTATTCTTCTGTCAATGGATAGACTGTAGTGTTTATCACCAAAAGGTTATAAGCAATACTTTTTTGCAAACATGTCAGTCTTTCTGTATAAGTGCTAAAGGAGTGGAATTTCTGGACATAAAACTGAACATACGCTTACACCACCAAACTGCCCTCCAAAGGCTGACCAATTCATAATCCTGATGACCACATATAGTACATCCCTTTCCACACTTTCTATAATACTTGATTCATCCAGGAGATTCCTCAACTAAGGCTTACCATATGCAAGAGCTTGGGGAATTCTAGAGCTATAAGCTCTTTGTGAGGAATCTACTGGAAGATGACTATTAAACTTGGTAGGACAGGACAGGGGAAAGCAGGTAAAGGACTGATGGTAAGTATTTAATGTATATAACTGTAGACCTAGCACTATGTGGTGGAGAAGAGTGGGGAAGAAAAATATATACTTATGGTATGCCTATGTGTCCTGATAAAGTAGAAATGCCACTAAAATGGGAGGAGAGACAGGGAAGGAGAAAGTAGAAAAAGTTTACTGAATGTTGCATTAAGTGGTAGTTAGAGGGAAAAACACAAAGTCACAGAATTTCTAAAAATAATAATGAAACACTGTGGATGTGTGACATTCATTTAAAACAGTGAGGTGAGGGGATCCCTGGGTGGCTCAGCAGTTTAGCGCCTGCCTTCAGCCCAGAGCGTGATCCTGGGGTCCCGGGATCAAGTCGTGCATTGGGCTCCCTGCATGGAGCCTGCTTCTCCCTCTGCCTGTGTCTTTGCCTCTCTTTCTCTCATGAATAAATAAAAGCTTAAAACAAAACAGTGAGGTGAGGAAAATGGATAGCTTTAGATATTTTAATAAAGATAACAGAAATTAGTTAACATAAAAAATTGTAATAAGTCCTAATTTCTTAAAAAATTAGTGAAATAAACACAGCTATCTTAAGAAATGAGAAAGCATTAATATTCATTTTTTTAAAAATTTTTATTTATTTATGATAGTCACACAAAGAGAGAGAGAGAGGCAGAGACATAGGCAGAGGGAGAAGCAGGCTCCATGCACTGGGAGCCCGACGTGGGATTCGATCCCGGGTCTCCAGAATCGCGCCCTGAGCCAAAGGCAGACGCCAAACCGCTGCGCCACCCAGGGATCCCGAAAGCATTAATATTCAAAATAAGAAATCACAAAGGGGAAATGCCAGTTTCTTGAATTATCAATGTACTGGGTTTAAAAAAACAACTAATTGTTTTCACTTGCCTTCTACTCCAGAAAGTAGGAAAAAAACAAAAACTGAGAAAAAGAGAAGAAAGTGTCCTTTTAAAAGAACAAGAAACAATAAATTAAAAAAACCAGAAGCATTAGATTCTTATTCTGAGAGCAGCTTATATCAAACTATCCCTCTTCTGAATAACTATACATCTTGATCTAAATATAAAAAAACAACTATTTGAAGACACTGCAACCAGAAGAAGCATTAGAGGGTGTACAACACTTGAAAGAAGGGGCACATACTGTATTGAACATGGTTTTCATCTGAGGGCAGTCCCCAGTCCGTGTGGCACATGAGGAATAGATCCAAAGTCTGTGGATTCCAGACTTCCTGGAAACTGTATGGCAAAATCCTGGAAAAGCAGGAGCAACTATGCATGGAGACTCAGAGCTACACACAAGCACCACCTAAAGGTGGCTGAATACATGAGGCAAGAGAACAAAAAGTTCAGATGGCTAACAACCAACGAAGGTGAAAGGAGTTGCGCAGGTTTCTGCTACTATTCACAGGTAAGCCTGAGTGTACAGCTTGAGTCCAATCAAGTAAAAGATTGCTAAATACCTTAGATAAGCTCCTACTTAAACACAGGTTACACAAAACATACATCCTTTCAGCATACCTAGAGAATACTCTAACTTCAAGTTACCTGTGAATAAATCACCTATTAAAAAACAAAAGGGCAAAAAAAATTTTTTTAAAGCATAAAGCACTAAACCAGTAAGCTGTCTCCTATATTTCCTACATGAAGCCATCAGAGAGTAGAACAGCTCCGGGGTAAAACTACATGAAAGAGAGAAGAGAGGCACTACTAGTGTGGATTTAAAGTTGGTGGAAAACAACCATCAGAAAAGAAAGGTTACTATTCATGAGAAAATGCTGAAAAGGCATACCGATAGGTCAGAGCACTTACCACAGGGAAGGGACTTAAAGGGCAGGCAGAACGAGCACAGGAAGTCTTGGAGAGGGAAAGCTCCAGGGGGAAAGGTGGGATTACAAGGAAAAGGTGCCTCTTGGAAACTCTAAGGTAAAGGGAAAAATAAGCAAGGAATAAATAAAGGGTCCTGCAAAACAGAAGAGAATTTAAAAAAAGAACACACAATCTCTCTTCCTCCTGCAATCCAACAAAGAAAGCAACTAGTTACACTAACAGAACAGGTTCCCTGACCTAGGAAATGTCAACAACACTAGAATCCGACAGTTGTTTACAGAAATGCAGATGTGCAGTCATCCTCTATAAAAAACCAAAACAGAAAATGAGAATCCAAAGTTCGGCTAAAGAAAATTCTACACACACACACACACACACACACACACACACACACAAATCTACACCACCTCCCTTCTCCCCCAAAAAAGGAAAAGAGAAATAACGATGACAGAGAAAAAGCCGTAACAAAACACTACAAGCTGAATTCAAATATTTGAGCATATTTGAGCATATGAGAAATCACCCAGAATCAAAAATCTGAATTTGTAACATTTTATACATTTGAGGAAATGAATAGACTTAAACCTATTGTGATCATCATTTCCCAATACATACATATATCAAATCATTATGTTGCACATCTTAAACTAATACAATGTTACATGTCAACTATATTTCAACAACTCTGGAAACAAAATTCAAAAGCAAAGAACAAGTGCAGCCAGGGTGGCTCAGTGGTTTAGTGCCACCTTCAGCCCAGGGTGTGATCCTGGAGACCCGGGATTGAATCAGGTTCCCTGCATGGAGCCTGCTTCTCCCTCTCTCTGTGTCTCTCATGAATAAATAAATAAAATCTTAAAAAAAAAAAAAAAAAGGCAAAGAACAAATGGGCAAAAAAGTAACATGAGTGTTAACTGAATTTCAGAAAGAAATGAAACTAAGTTACAAGACAGCAAAGAATAGATTGAAAACAGGATGGGCATTGAAGTGTAGCAGGAAAACCACTTAAGAGAATAAAAATGAAATAAAGAACAGGCTAGAGAAAAAGTGGTTTAAATGGAAATCAGACCAAAAAAAAAAAAAAAAAAGGAATATCACCCATGTAATTGTAGTTTCTGATAAAATCCAAAGAGGGAAACAATATTTAAAACTATAGTCCAGGGGAATCCCTTGATGGCTCG